AAAAATATGTAAAGGTTGGTTTTATGACCCAAGCTACAGCACCATGCTTAATTGGGGGAAAAAGATGTGTATTCTGCAGTTACTGGGTGGAATGTTGTATACTACGTGTCAGTTAGATCCATGACTCTGTTCTTTATTTCTTCTATATTTGTGTTGACTTCTTCTCTCCTGATTCTCTCAGTGACTGGGAGAGACATGTTGAAATCTCCGAATAATTACATACTACAGGTTTGTCTGTGTCTCTAGACAGTTCCCGGAGTTTTCATTTATGTACTGGGAAGCTCTTTTCTATGGTGAAAACACATTGAAATTGTTGTGTCATCTTGGTGAATTGGCTCTTTAATTATTATTTAATGTCCCTCTTTATCTCTGGTCATTTTCTTTGCCTGAACTTTACTTTTTCTGATGTAATATACTCACAACACTCCTCTTTTGATTTGTATTTACGTACTATATGGTTCTGCATTCTTTCACCTTTCACTTCCTTATATGGTTATATTTGAAATGATTTTTTTTGTAGATAGAATGTAGGCAGGTCATATGTGTTTTAATTCTGCCAGTCTCTGTCTTTTCAGTGTTGAATTTTGATTGTTTATATTTTCACACAATTATTCATATGTTAACAGTTAAGCCTGCCATTTTACTCTTTATTGTCTATTTTTTCACTTTGTTTTTTATTCCTCTTTTCTCCTTTCCTGTCTTCCTGTGGGCCACTTGAACATTTTTTTTTAAATTAAGCTTTAATTTATCTGTAGTGTTTTTGAGTATATCTCTTTGTATTGTGTTTTAAGTAGTTGCTGTAAAGATTGCATGCTATGCATACATAGCTTAATGTAGTATCAACATTTTTGCTCTTCAAGTGGAATACAGACATCCTAAAACTGTCCCTTTAGGTCCCTTTCCCCTTCCTACTTTATGATATAATTGTCTGAAATATTATCTCTGCATACATTGACAACCACATGAGACAATATTATAGCTTTGCTTTTAACTATCAAACACATTTTTTTCAATTCAACAGGAGAATAGTGTAGTATACTTACCCATTTATTTACCCTTTATAGGTCTTTCTTTTCTATCTGAAGAATTTTCTTTAGCCATTCTTTTAGAACTGTTCTGCTGTCAAAAGTTGTCTTAGCTCTCCTTCACCTAGGCATGTCTGTACTTCAGCTTCATTTCTGAAGTACATTTTCAGTGGATATAGTGTTCGAGGTTCCTAGTTTCTTTTGCATAATTTGAAAATGTTGTGATACTTCCTTCCGGCCTCTCTGGGTGTTGATGAGAAATCTGCTTTAATTTAAGTTGTTGTTCCCATAAGTAGTGAGTTGTTGCCCTCCACATGCTTTCAAGAAGTTCTCATTGTTTGTCGTTTTCAGAGATTTGATTATAATATATATTGGTGTGAATTCTTGGGATTTATTGGGTTCATTCACAGCTTCTTGGATCTGTAGGTTTTTCTGCTACAAAGTTTGAGAACATTTTCAGCTATCATTTCTTCAAATATTTTTTTCAAATCCACATTTTTTCTCCTCTCCTTCTGGTACTCTTGGGCACTGATGGCACAAGGGTTAGATCTTTTGTTATTCTAACATATGTCCCTGAGTCTCAATTTTTGGTTTTTTTTTGTTTTTCAGTCTGTTTTCTCTTGTGTTCTGATTGGATGCTTTCTATTGATGTCTTCAACGTCCCTGATTCTTCCTTACCACTTGGCATTGAGTCGTTCCACTAAGTTTTTGTTTAGGTTATTACATTTTTAAGTTCTAAAATTCCTTTGTTGTAATGCATATTTTGTATTACTTTGTAAAAATTTTCTAATTTCAGTTTTTTGACAGTGTAATTGTTTATTGAAACATACTTATGATAGCTGCTTTAAAATCTTTATCCTATTAATCCAAATCATGCTTTTACTGAATTTTTTCTGGAATCAGAAACTTGACCTGTACCCTTGTTTTACCACTGAGAGAGAGATGACTAGAGAGGATAAATGATTTGCCTAATGTCATATAGTGTCCAGGGATGAAACTGAGTGTAGGGTCTTATCCCTGACCCAGCGATTTTTCAAAATGGATTAAAGACCTCAGTTTTGTATCCACTCTGACAGATACTGTCTTTTAATTGGTGCATTTAGAACATTAACGTTTAAAGTGGTAATTGATACAGATTAATAGCTACCATATGATTATTGTTTTCTATTCATTGCTGTTGATTTGTCTTTTTTTTTCTGTCTTTAACTCTTTTTCTGTCTTCTCTAGTTTTAATTCAGTCTTTTATATAATGCCATTTTGTTGTCTGTATTAGCATATTGATTATATTTCTTTTTCTCAAATTGTCAAATAGTTGCCCCAGACTTCACAATAAGCATCTCAAGGAATCCAAATCCACTCTAAAATAACACCAAACTGCTTTATCAATAGTGCAAGTACCTTATAACAGAGTTTTCCTAATTCCGCCATCTTTCCTTACAACACTGCTTCATTCGTGTCACTTATTTGTAAGGTATAATCTCTGAATACATTGTTACTATTTTTATTTTGAACCAACTGTCATCTATGAGATCAATTAAGAAAAATGAAAAAAATTTAATTTATTTTTTAATCTAATGCCCTTCCTTTCTTTATGTAAATCTGAGTATCTTTTTCCTTCTTTCTGAATGACTTCTTTATATTTCTTGTAAGGCAGGTCTATTAGCAACAGATTCCCTCTATTTTTGTTTGAGAAAATCTTTACTTTTGCTTAACTTATACAAAACTTAGAAATTTAGGATTCCTTTTATAAAGCCATTTTGGCAAATACTAAAATGTTACACAGTTCTGCATCCGTGGATTCAGACATCCATGTATTCAACTAGCTGAAGATCCTGTAGTGTTGCAGTATTTACTATTGAAAAAAAAAAATCTATATACAAGTGGACCCTTACTGTTTAAACCCATGCTGTTGTTCAAGGGTCAACTGTACTTGCAATCTGGATACTATAATATAAACACAAAGTACAAATTATCCAGTGCTAAACACTGATCCTCCATGACTCACTCTACTTAATTACTGTGTGTTTCATCTTTTACAGAAAGAAATTTTCAGAGTTTTGTCAATTCTTATAGTATATACCATTTTTCCTCACCAAAATCTTTGTCAAATCTAAAATGGTGGTATAAAAAGCAGGGATTTTTTTTTTCTTTCTTGAATACTCTAAAACATGCCAGTTTAGATTACCCTTCAGATTTTCAGGGCATTAAAGATATATAAATAGAATATCCAGGGATATTTGTTAACACATTTAGATTAAGTTTGTTTACAGTTATTTTGAAAATCAGTTTGACTTGAATCCTAGGTAAGCAAAAGAGATTTGATGGACCAAGTTACTTCCTGATAAAAATAATGCAGCATATAAATTTTTAAAATAAATCCTTAAATGCATTCAAAAAATTTGTGTCTTTTAATTGTCAAATAATGTAGTTATATGGTAGAAGAAGATATAAGACAACTAATAGAAATTTAAAGTTTCAAAATAGGGAATTTTGAAATGAAGAAATTACCATTGTTGCTTAGGAAATGTACCTTACTGTTAACCTCAAATTCATTTCAAATATTTGATATATAATTTAATACCAACAAATATTCTAGCTAAAGAATTTCTTAATATTTATATGGTGTAATATCTCTGGATAGACAGGTTTCACACAACAGCTTTCAATCAATGCTGAAAAAAATCACTTGATACTTGTAACCACAATTAACAAATAACTTATTAATTAATTAGCAATTTATTCAGGAAATTGTGTGGCATAAAGGCCAATGAAGGGAATAATATGGTAACTTCTCACCAGGCAATTAATATTCTACATAGTTGCTTTACATGTTTTCCTGTGTGTGATTTGTTCAACAAAATTGTATACACAACATTAAGCTTTTCCTTTTTCCTTCTTCCTGTTTTTCTTCTTTCTTTTCTTTTTTGAAGCAACTGAATGATTTGGGGGATTGATTAGTACAGGACACAGAACATGTAGGGAGAAGTATAAAGTACAAAATAATATTGAACACCAATGCCAGTACTCATCCCATTATGATTATAACTAAGGATATTATTAATTTTGTGTTGTTCACTTTTTTATAGAACATAAGTTGAAGTCAGTAACTTGAACCTTCTGCTCAGTTCCTGCCATTTGGCCTGCATCCCCCTTTCTCTGCTCATATCCCTCTACCTGCTTGCTCTAACAAAAGGTTTCATGGACTTCAAACAGGGCCAGCCAGCTCCACATGTTTCTTTATCTTCAAATCCAGGGAGTCCTAAGATGTCTTGCAGACCAGTGGGTTCATTTACTTTCCACTTATTTGGGACATGTCTCCGTCTCAGTTTCTGCAAATGCAAGATGGAAGGAAGAAAGCATCTGCATAATTTTGTTGGAATTGAACAATTTATGTAGAGTCTAATGCAACGTCTGGAATATAGTAAGTGCCCAAGAAATGTCAAGTGCTGCTGTTACCCTGATTAAAGTTCACCAGGAGCAGTTCCAATCAGTGGGAGAGAGAGTGATTGAGAAACAAAGAGCTCAAGTCTGTGTCACTCTCAGATGCAGTGAAACCATAACGCCTAGAGGCCCATGATCTCACAGAGAGACAAGCTTTGCAAATAGCAACTAAAAAAGCTCCAAGACTGGCCTTTTCCAAAACCTGGTCATGTTCTCCCAGGAATCTGGCCTCTGGCTTCTGGTGGGGCTGGCAGGCAGGCTGGATTCAGGAAAGAATAGTACCTGGTGGGGGTGAGGGGTTGCAGCAGGAGGCGGGTCTGGGGAAAGAGCCCTGAACACTGGCAGAAGCCTGGCTACTGGTCGCCAGGCAGGCAAGGCAGGCAAGTGGGGGCTGGGACCTGCGAGTGGGCGGTGTCAGGGTGGCTGGACCTGGGGGCGGGGAGGGGAAGGCATGGCCTGGAGGGGGCGGGTCCTGGGCCAAGGGAGGGGCCGGGAAGGGGGCGGGGCTGGGAGCTCAGGCTCCGAGCCCCGCCTCAGACCAGGGCCTGCGCAGAACGCTGAGGAGGTAGCCGGCATCTCAGCCATGCTTGCAGCTTTGGGCTCCGTGGCAGCCGCTGTCTGGGGGCTGCTCTGTCTCCGCTCTCTCCTGCTGGGTGCAGTTGTATTTCTCTTCTTTGCTGATTTCCTCAAAAGTCGTCGCCCAAAGAACTACCCGCCTGCGCCCCGGCGCCTGCCCTTCGTGGGACACCTCTTCTATCTGGGCTTTAAGGAATTTCACCTGTCGCTTCAGCGGGTAAGAGAAGGCAAAGCTGCCTGGGTTCACCCTGACGTGTAGGGCAAGAGCCAATTTGGGTACCAAGGACAGAAGGATGGGGAGGGCTCTGACGCTAAAGCAGGCAGCCAGGTACACCCCGCTTTGAGCCTTGTTGTCCTCACCTTCAACTAATGATTCCACCTGCCCTTTCTAGGGGTAAAATTTTGGAAACTGTGTACTATTTAAATATGCCACACATGATACGTTCTTTAAGTCATTTAGTTGTGTGTCATGGTACACATTACTAGTACATCCTATTTGTAATACGACCACTATTTTTTTTTTAATTGTATTATCAACAGGGGTGGGGAATGCTCTACTTTCCTTCTTGGAGACTGCATTTCCCAGGAGTAAAATGTCATTACCTAAATCCTAACCACTTTCCAACTGACTTTCTTCCATCCCCTCCAGGACTGAGCCCCTCACCTTCAGCCTCCTCACTCTGTAATCCACTCCCTCTAAAGAAATCATTTAAAATGACATTGCTCAGCTTAGATTTCTCCCTACTTTCCAGCTGCCTCCCAAGTTCAGAATCCTTAGGGAGCCACTTGAAACCCTTCTTGTAGCCTCTTTCCATTTCTTTGTAATCATCTCCCGTCAGGGCTTTGAAACTGTGGCCACTCTGAGTTCCTTAAAATTCTCTCCAACATCCAACACTTTCCCAACAATCTTCAACTGCTTCCCTGCCTCTCAGCGCTGGTAACTTACTGAGAGACAACACTGTGATAGGCAGTTGTGAACATCAAATAAAACAGTGAATGGTCAAGTTTAATACAGCTTATAGTAGGTTCCCAACAAATATTGGTTTCCCTTTGCCTGGAAAGTACCTGGAGCACGTTAAACACAAGCCTAAAGTATATCCTCATTCAGATGGGGAAGGGTTTATCACTTTCTGGGAGAACCACCCCATTGGTACCACTAAGGGGCAGAATTAGTCTACAGAATTCTACAGCTAGGCACCTAAACCTGTCCCCTTGTTTGTGAAGTGTGTTGTGTAGTATCAAAGTACTGGGAGATTGTCCTGTTATCTTTCTGTTAATGATTTCCAGTTTGAGTCCATTATTGTCTGAGGACATATTTTTATGGTTTCAATTTTTTAAATATACAAATGTGAGTTTTATGACCCAAGATGCAGCACCATGTATACTCGAAAAAATAATGTATTCTGCTGCTGTTGATGGAGTGTTCTATACTATATGTCAATTAGAAATAATTAGATGACTGTGTTCTTTAGTTCTTCTGTACCCTTACTGACTTCTTAGCTACTGATTCTCTCAGTGACTAGGAGAGGCATGTTGAAGTTCTCCAAATATAATTACCATTTTGTCTGTGTCTCTCGTCAGTTCTGCTACTTGTCATTTATGCATTTGGCAGCTCTTTTATATGCTACATACATATTAGCATTGTTATGCCATCTCGGTGAATTGGCTCTTCAAGTATTACTTAATGTCTCTTTTTATCTCTGATAGTTTTCTTTGCCTGAACTTTACTTTGTCTGATATACTATCAGCAAACCAGCTGTCTTGATTAGGATTTGCATAGTTTATTCTTCTCCATTCTTTCACTTTTAACCTTAACTTACATGGTTACATTTAAAATGAGTTTCTTATCGATAGCATAGAGATGGGTTCTTTTCTTTTTATTCTGCCAGTCTCTCTCTTTTAATTAGTGAATTCAGGTCATTTATAGCTAATATAAGTATTGATATGTTAACACTTAAATCTGATATTTTACTTTCTATTTTTTTTACTTTGTATTTTATTTCTCTCTTTCTTTTTGCTCTCTTCTTGTGGGGCACTGGAACAAGTTTTTAAAATTCTGTTTTTTCTGTAGTGTTTTTGAGTATATCTCTTTGTATTGTGTTTTCAGTGGTTGCTGTAAATTACATGCTATTCACACAGCTTACTGAAGTAAGTCAATAGTTTACCACTTCAGGAGGAATATAGATACCTTAAAACTATTCATCACTTTACCTTCCCATCTTTATAATACATAAACTGTCTTATATATTATTTCTGCATACACTGAGTACAATGTCAGACAGTATTATAATTTTATTCTTGACTGTCAAACACAATTTTTTATTTCAAGAATAGTCTAGTGCATTTACTCATTAATTTATGCGTTCCATTGCTCTTTGTTCTGTAACTAAAGAACTTTCTTTAACCATTTTTGGAGAACTGGTCTAAATGCTAAAATAAATCTCTTCGCATTCTTTCATCTAAAAATGGCTTTATTTCACCTCCTTTTTTTGAGTATATTTTCCCTGGATATAGAATTCTAGGTTGACAATTACTTTCATCCTTAATTATATTATGCTACTTCTATCTGGCCACCCTAGTTTCTGATGAGGAATCTGCTGTAATTTGAGCTGGTTTTTTGATGAGAAATTACTTTATGTCCTCTGCATGCTTTCAAGTAGTTTTCATTGTTTTTAGTTATTAGAGATTTGATTATAATATGTCTTGGTGTTGAAGTCTTTGGATTTATTCGTTCACTCACAGCTTCTTGGATCTGTAGGTTTTTCTACTACCATGTTTGAGAATTTTTCAGCTAGTGATTCTTCAAATATTTTTCAATTCAAATTTATTTTTCACTGCCTTCTACTACTGTTGGATACTGATGGCACAATTGGTAGATATTTTGTCATTCTAACAAGTGTCCCTGAAGCTCAATATCTGTTCTTTTCTCAGTCTATATTCTCAGAGTTGTTCAAATTGGATACTTTCTAATGATGTTTTCAATTTCACCGATTCTTCTGTTATTAACACACTGCATCAACAGAGAGTTTTTTATTTTGATTATTTTATTTTTTATTTTAAAATTTTCTCCATGGTTCTTTTGTATATTTTCTATTTATTTGCTAAAATTTTCTACTTTTCAAAAATTTCAAGAGTACAGTTGTTTATTGGAACATACAATAGCTGCATTAAAATCTTTACCCTATAATTTCAACATCTCTATCATCTCAGTGCTGTCTTCAACTCATTCAAGTTGAGATTTCCTGGGTTCTTTGTAACACAAGTAATGTAGGACTATATCCTGGACATTTTGGGTATTTTGTTATATGACTATGGAATTTGTATAAATCTGCATTTTAGCAGGTAGTCAACCTACTAGGAATGCTCACCCTTGTGGATTATAGTTCAAATATCAATTTATGTTATAAAACCCTTGCAGTGCTATACTGGTCTACCACACTTATGTGTTGCCACCCCCACAGGACCCCAGCCCACATTCTCATCAGTGCAGGCTGGAGAGAATGAGGATGGGGAGAAAAGACTGGAGTCCCTCTGAGTAGGAAAGCCTGTTCCTTGCTGCATGTGGAATGGAAGTCAGTACGTGCCCATAACGTCTCTGTGGGAATGGGTATCTCCTTATTTCTGTACAGTGGTAGGACTCAGAATTTTACCCTCTGACTCCTCCATGTAGACTCTAATACAGTTCAGAGGTGATATTCAAACTAGAGCTCACAGAGTCAGCAGGGGAGAGGCATCACCTTGTTGTTACTAATGTTGGGTGAAGACAAGTTTTCACCCATATTCTATGCTGTTATAGCCCCTCCCCGCTATGGTGGGTAAGAGTCAAATCTTTTTCATGGCATTTGTCTCCAGAACAAAAAGGCTGAAAGTTTCAGTCCTGGTAGGCCACCCTTTTTCTGGGTCTTTCTTTTTGCTCTTTTTGTACAGAGAACAGGATTGTATTAGAATTCGTTTTGTCTGTGCCAATCAGTGATGAGTAGGAGGAGTCAATGAGTTGCTTTTACTCACTCTTATCTGGAGTCAGAAATGTGATCTGTAGCCTTGTTTTTACCACTGTACCATAGATATGACTAGAGAGATCAATTATCTGCCTAAGGTCATAAAACTGACCAGGGTTGAAATGAAGACTAGAGTCTTACCTGTGGCCCAAAGATTTTTCATCAGAACTATTAAATTTTATTTTATATTGGGTTGCTTTACTAATTTTTTTGGTTTTAATACAAAATGGAGTTCAACAAATAGAGTTAAATGGTGTGATTTAGCTGTAATTAACATTACTTTCTAGCAATTTGGAAACATTAAGTATGACCTATATGCTAGCTGTTGTAAACAGATATATGTTCATTTACTCTTTACAAAAGACACCCAAGTTCAGAATCATCTGATGTTATCTCTGGTTTACCACTTAGGAAACTGAAAAGTGTCAAGTGATTTGCTCAAGTTATTGAAGATAAATAATGACCAAACAAGGACTTCAACCCAAAATTGTTTGACTCAGATATCAATTCTCTACTTATGCGACCTGACTTTTCGTAATACAGGAACCTTGATTTACTCACAGATTCATTTATTTAAAGAGACATTTATGAATTTCATATCATGTGTCAGGCACAGCAGAAGAAAATCTATGATGAAACGTGATATACAGACTTTTTGTAAGCAAATGCCATAACATTAAATGGGATCACTGTGAATGGGAAACCCTTGGGATAACCTCATGTGGAATGTTGAAATAAATTTGGGTGAACTTGGAAGAAATATTAGGCAAGTGGCTATGTGGAGTAAAGGGAACAGGAGATTTTTAAATGGGGAAAGTAATATGAGCTAAAGCAGTGAGAGGAAAGCAAAGAAACTGGCCTGTTTATATGGCATGATGGGAATCTTTCTTATTTTTCTCCTATATTTTCTAAACTTTTTCTATTTTAGCTATATAACTTAATTTTGGCCATATCTATAAGAGAAAATCTTATTCACCTAATTTGTGAGAATGCTAGATAAGGTGGATAAATGTGTTAGTGAAGGTGTACATTGAATTGCTTATTTTAAAAAAGGATCCCAAAATACAGTAGTTTAAAAGAGATTCAAATTTATTTCTCTATCATAAGTGAGTTCAGGGGGCATTGCCAAGATGGCAAAGTAGAAAGACAGACAGCTCACCCTCTCCCACGAACACATCAAATTCTGCATCTACATATGGAACAGTTATTACAGAATGCC